AAAAAAAAAACCCATCAAAAACAATAAAAAATGATTTTTATTTTACTCTATTATGTTGGACTTTGTGACTTTCTAATTTGAATATATTTTGGACTACATGTGTGATTCATAGTTCAGATGCTTCTGCTTATGTGGGGCTGTGGTTATGAATACGGTGAATGGGACTCTTAATAGAAGCAGGGGAGCTTTGGGAAATTGGTGTGTGTCGTTTGGGGACAACACTGAACACGGGGAGGTGGGTGGGAGAGACTTATCTATTCTTTTTTTCTTTTGTTGTTTTTTTTTCTTTTTTGTTGTATATTATTTGCTCAGATTATTGTTAACAACAACATTTCAGTGTACACCCATGATAGAATTGGTATTTGCGTTTGGAACCGCCTTTTTCATCATGTACTTATATGGTGATGACTTCTGTTGATGACACTTCAACTGCTGTGAGTAGTGGCTGCCATGTTAACTTTATTAGTTGGAAAGTGAAGGGATTGAACCACCCAGTGAAACGAAATAAGGTACTCTCTCATCTTCTTTATCTTAAAGTACATGTAGCGTTTCTTCAAGAAACACACCTTAAGAATACAGATCATGCCAGATTAAGACGAAATTGGGTTGGACAATTTTTTCATTCCAAATTCAATGGTAAAGCCAGAGGTGCAGCAATTTTGATTAATAAGAATACTCCATTTATAGTCTCTCACACAATAGCTGACCCAAATGGTCGCTATGTAGTTGTGACAGGGTCGCTGTTCAATACTTCACTTATTTTAGCAAACGTATATGCTCCGAATTGGAATGACTCAACTTTTTTCAATGACTTTCTTAATTCCCTTCCACAGATCAATACACACCAATTGATTCTTGGGGGGGGACACGAATACTGTTATGGATCCAGTACTAGATCGCTCCTCAGATAAAATACTTCCACTCCCTAAATCCTCATTAGTGTTACAGTCATATTTACAAACCTATGGGGCTGTTGATGTGTGGCGATTTCTCTACCCCTCCACTATCCATCCATCCATCCATTCGCTTCCGCTTATCCTTTTCAGGGTCGCGGGGGGCGCGGGAGCCTATCCCAGCTGTCATAGGGCGAGAGGCGGGGTACACCCTGGACAGGTCGCCAGTCTGTC